ACCACCTAGGTGACTAGGAGACTAGGCGCCCCCCTGTCGCCTAGCCTCGCCTTGGCACCTTGAAAAGTGAAAACTATGTTAGACCCAGAGCTTTGCTCCCATTTATATCTTTTAAGGCTTCCACAATTTCCCCAACCTCAAACTCCCCTCTCAATCCAATTTGCTGAAAATTCCCTCAACTTACTTGCCAACTCCCTAAGAGACATCAAGCTCTAGAATCTCGAAGTATATAAATTCTTGTATTGTTGGAGAAACACATGGTTTCTTCATACTTTTGATACTTTCTAGTAGTTCTATGCTACAAGAAGAAAACCAGCAACTATTCTCTGGATTTTCCCCTAGATTCAGAGCATACTTTGTTGGATTTTGAAGCAAGGCTACCCATCGACCTCATCTTCTATCTAACATCACTACGTAACTAACCTTGCAAAAACAGCATAAATTAGGAAGCTTCTGGGAGCCTTCCCTATTTATGCCTCCTGGAAAGTAGCAAGAAGCCTGTGCAATAAATGGGTTATGAGAGAAAGTCATCAAAATAGTCAAACTCACAATCATATTAAAAGTAAATGGATATTAAGAACCAGTACATTATTAGTAACCAAAATAACACAAAAACAACTAAATAAAGCAGGGATGAAAAGAGACTCAGCAAAGAAAAGAAAATTGCAAATAAATAACAGAGAAGAAGATTAGTTTTATCAACTTCAATTGGGATCTTCCAATAACTGGACTATCGTCTAGTCAAGCGCAGAACCAAAACTAGTAAAATATACATCAGATGTTGCAGCAGCAGGAGTCATCCTCAATTCTACACTTCTGGATAAACTGCACATAATTCAGGAATTTTCATATTTCCCTTATCCCGATCCACTGCCACAGCAATTGATTCAGAAACACCTCAAGTTTCATCTGTAGATGAGACAGAAAGCAGTAACCAATTTAGCTCTTATTCATTTGAAAGTTTTTGATGCATCCTGGGACAAGCTGCTACTAACATCCCTAGTTTATCTTTCTATTGCCAGCAAATTTGGTCAGAATGGGAAAGGCCTTCATCTATAAGCCTTGTTGGATACTTGGACCCATTGATTCCTTGTGAGATCACCATCATCATCCGACTTCTGTAGTCTTAATACTTTCATTTTACCCATACTGGGGGAAGTAATGGTAGATTTTTTTTTCATTTGGGTGAGAGGACCATTTTTTTCTAAACTTGAAAGTTGGACTCAATCTTTGTCACTAATTTACAGGTATGGAGGGAGAGATACATCAATATAAATTTCAGGTAAATAGAGAACTTGGGGAGATTTTAGGAGATTCTAACAAGTTGGAAACATTAGAGATAAAGGTCTGTAGGTTCTGTTATAATAGCTGATGAAGGAGGGAAAGGAGGCTATGAGGGTTTACAAGTGACAGAGAGACAAAAAAGAGATAAAAGTGTAATTCCATTTCCTAATTGATAGGATGAGTTACTAGAGCTTGGAAAGGATTATGAAAACCTTACATGAAAATACTCATCTAAAAGAGAGAAAATTAAATAGAACTTAATAGGAGTCTTCTTGTTCCTTCTCTTCTAAAAGGAAAGGATTTATAGGAGATAACAAAACAGGATTAATGTAGCCATCTACCCAACCCCACATAGTTAGGATAAGGCATACATGATGAAGATGATGATGAACAGAGAATGTAGGGATTTTATTGTTTTCAGGTGGACAGCGATTTAATAGTGAACCTTTTGGTTTTCAATGATATGTAAGGTGTCCATTATAGAGAAATTAAAAGAAAGGATAGAGGATATTGATCAAAAAAGAATAAAGGAAAGAGGATTGAAGAATGACAACTCATTATTCTATTGGGAAGTGTTTCATGGAAGCATTAATACCTTTGATCTACTTCAAAGGAAGAGACTAAATTGGTGATTGTCCCCCAACTGGTGTGTTCTTTGCAAGTTGAATGGTGAGACTGTGATTCATCATCTTATCTCTTGCCTGTTTATTAGCTTTCTTTGGGATTGGTTTACTTCTCTCTTTGGATGCAGTTGGTCTTCTCCTAATAAGTTGGAGGGTTTGTTTAGCCTTACTAGCATTAGCTGTACAAAAAAGAGGGGTAGGACCTTGTGGAAATGCACTAGAGCAGCACTAATTTGGACTGTGTGGGAGGAAAGAAATGCAAGAATATTTGAAGAGAAGGAACAAAGCAAGGAAGCCTTGGTTGAAATTATAACATTGATAGTAGCTCATTGGGCAAAAAGTTTGAAGCTGTTTTCGGATTTCAAGATTGAAGATTTCTTCAGAGCTTGGGGTATCATTGCTGCATCCTCAACTACAAGACAAAGATCTGTTGAGGTTTGGGTCTCCTCCAATAAATGGTTGGAAGAAACTGAATTTTAAAGGTTGTTGGGGTAACCCAGGCCCCTCAGGTATTGGGGGACCATTAGAGATGAAGAGGGGAACATAATTGCTGCGTACTCTAGCCCTGTGGAGCAGGGTGATGTGGCAAGATCAGAGTTTTTAAGTGGCTAGTTAAAGGGGAGGGGTGGCATGGCACTTGAGGAATGAATTCAGAAAATTCAAATGGCTACCACAGATTCACAGGACATGTTAATCCGAGTGAAATGAGTGAGGAGGACTGCTAATAGCTTGGCAGGTAGCTTAGCCAAGCAAGGGGTACATAGGACACATGTTTTGGGCTCAAATGTAGTACTGATTTGGGACAGCTTCTATAGCTGGTTCTTTTCACAACTTGCTGTAATCATGTTTCTCTCATAATTAATGAAATTTTTCTGTGTTGTTGATCAAAAAAAAAGAATGACAACTCATTAGGAAGGGATAGGTTTAAGTGGGAATCAGGAGATTGATTAGAAGGAAAAAGGGAGCAACTCTTCAGCGAGATAGGAAGGATTTGTAAGATCAAACACATGGGAAAAGCTAATAATTGCCTACTATAATTTTTCCTTTTCTATTTTTTTTTTATCAACAACACTTTCATTAAATCATCAGTAGAAAATTTACAAGTGGAAGACAAACACACTTATCTTCCAAGAGTCACAAAGAACTTTAAGAAATGAAAAGAGAAATTACAAAGATACAAAGACACCAACGTTACAGCTTAGCCCAAAACAAAGAATCCCTTTCTGCCCCTTGTTTTGCTAA